AGGGAGTATTTTTTTAAAATTTTATTTTCCTTTACAAATTTCCCTCTCTTATCAAAGAAAAAAAAAACCCATTTTATAGCACATATTTACCATAGAATATAATACTAACATCAAAAGATTAAAAAAATAATATTTATATTTAGTATAAAGAAATACGAAATTCCGTTGCCTCGCCGAGCAGAAAACCCTAGTCGTCAACCTCAACCCCGCCGCAGCCAAAATGAAGTACAACCCTAGGGTTTCCTCCTCCCGCCGCAAGAATCGCAAGGCACACTTCACGGCGCCGTCGAGTGTGCGGCGGGTGCTGATGAGCGCCCCTCTGTCGACCGATCTGCGGCAGAAGTACACTATGCGATCGATGCCGGTGCGCTAGGACGATGAGGTGCAGGTTGTGCGCGGCACCTAAAAGGGGCGTGAGGGCAAAGTGGTACAGGTCTACCGCCGGAAGTGGGTCATCCACATTGACCGGATCAGCCGTGAGAAGGTCAATGGATCGACGATCAATGTAGGCATCAACCCCTCCAAGGTCGTGATTACAAAACTCAGGCTTGATAAGGACCGGAAATCGCTTCTCTATCGGAAGGCCAAGGGTCGCGCCGCTGCTGATAAGGACAAAGGTACCAAATTCACGGCGGAGGATATTGTGCAAAACCTTGATTAAGGTTTAATATCATAGATTTTTTTTCTTAATTTTAGAATGATAATGAGCAACAATCATAGATTTTTTTTTTTTAAAGAATATAAATGAGCAGCAATATTTATTTATTCACTTTTTTTATTTTGGTGCTTTTTGGATGAACTGGTATGGCTTTTTTATTCAAATTGGTATCTGAATTTTAAATATTATGTTATCAATTATATGTTTATATTTCTAATAATCTGTTTGCATTTTTTAGTATAACATAATCATGGTTAATACAGTATGGATAATATATTGTCATTCTATATTCATGATAATTCTCATAATGCAGAATTTTCATCGTATAGTATATTAGAGATTGATTTTTAGGTTACTTAAACAAGTATTTGAGTTGTGAGTTTCAAATTATGTTAAAAGTATGTTATTTTGACTATGATCTTGTCATTGGCATGGCTTTTTTTAATTTTATTGAATTTTAGAACTTTTTTAAGTCCTAATCAATTCAAATCTTTTCCTTTTGGTTTTCTTTTTTATGTTCTCTAAATCTGTTATAGTTGCTTTCTGTGATCTGTTTATGAGGAAATGTGATAGTGGTATTCTAGGAATCATTTTAGTAATGAGAGATGTGAGATGGCAATGGCGTTTTAACACTAAAATGCTCTAGTTTTTATATGATTCATTAATCTGCTTTATTCTGGTGACAAGAAATAGAAACAAAGTACTTAATAGGTAATTCTACAATAATCTTGATCAAGCAGTGATAGGTAAATGAATAAAAAATTTGATCTTGAATATGTTTGTGTTAGTGGCTTAATAATAATATGAGGTCTAAGTATAATGGACTCAAAAGACTTCTTTCTATTCATTCATCCATTACTTGGTTGTAACTATTTATGAATGCAATTCATCATTCAGTGTTGCACTTACGAGCCCCTATGACTCAAGTTTCACTAGGTTGTAACATATTATTATTTTTCATGTGATTTACTTTTTGTGAGACTCTATCATTTCTTTCTTTCTTTCTCTTTATTTATTTATTTATTTTTGGATTGGCAATAAAATTAATGGCAGTACAAGGGTTCTCAAACACGTTTACAAAAACTGTGAAAAAATATAGGGTTTAGTTGCTTGTCTACAACTTGACCACTTAGGTCTGTGGCATAGTGTATGTGATTTTAACTAATGCTTCTAATTTTGAATAATTCGTTTCTTGATTTTAGATAATGGAAATCAAGTTGTTCATGTGACTCAACTTATCTTTTTGGTATGGAAATCAAGTTGCTCTACTTAGCTGGTGCAAATTATAAAAGGAAATTTCAAGGTAATATATACTATAGAATATGGAATAAATTTATTTGATAAAATATTGGATGAAATTAAAATGAAGTTGGAAATATGTGGATGACTTTGATGTTCAAAGTGATCAGCGATGGTTGTTGCAGATAAATTAATGAAAGTGTGGTATAAACAAAAATAACAGTATAACACTGTCCATTGTATTTGCCCTTATAATTAGATGAAGTTTTAAACTCTCTTGAATATTAGTTTGTTGGATATATATGTAGGTTTAAGACTGCATATTGTACCTAAAAACACTCTTAAGAAGATAATCTTAATCATGTTTTTGATGGTTTAAGGCACTGCCTACTTGATTTTTCACAATTGCATAACTTAATCATGGTCAATGCAGCATAGATAATACACTGTCATCCTATATTCATGAACCACTTGAATTTAAACAAGCATTTGAGGGTGAAATTCAAATTTTGCTTTAATATGTTTTTTCAACTATGATCTTGTTGGTGGCATGACAAAATTTTTTTTTTTTATTGAATTTTAGAACTTTCTAAGTCCTAATATTTCAAATCATTTCAGTTTGGTTTAATTTTTTGTTTTCTCTAAATCTATTATAGTATCTCTCTGTGATGTTTTCGCGAGAGAATGCTGTAGTTGTATTCTAATCATTCTACTAATGAGAGATTTGAGATTGCAATGTTTTTAACACTAAAATTCTCTAGTTTGTATCTGAGCCATGATTCTGCACTATTCAAAAGCTTAACAATTACATATTTTGGTGACAAGAAATAGAAAAAAGTACTTAATAAGCAATTAATAAGTAATTCAACAATAATCAGGATCAACCAATAATAGGCAAATGAATAAAAATTTTGATTCTTGAATGTGTATGTGTAATGGCATAACTAACAATAATTTGAGGTGTTAAGTATAGTGGACTCGAAAGAAATCTTTCTATTAATTCATCCATTACTTGTAATTATTTATGAATGCAATCCCATCGTTCAATGCTCTGCAGTTTGTATCATTTTTTTCATGAGATTCACTTGATCGCATGTAAGGAGAG